ACAAGATGTCAGTTCTGCATTAGACCAAATTCTAGTGGTTGCACTGCAGGCACTTTCTTCTACGGGTTGATACCTGCACCACACATGCAAAGTTTCATGCATACCGAGCTCTCTAAGTTCACGGAACGGTCTCAAGTTCCATCCGCCAGACCTTAAGTTACCTTCAACAATGACCATGCGGTGACTGGCCATCTGTTGCAAAACTAATCTGACAAGGAAAGCGGCTCGGTTTTCATCTCTTTTATTCCCACTTCCGCAGGAAGGTCCGGATAGGCGAACCCACAACAAACGAGGCTTACCGGCTGCAAGCTGTTCTGACAGTTGATTAAACTTACCTTTGGAGTGCAAATCATGGAAAACTGCAACAACTGGACCTAGCTGTTGCACTTGCAGCAAACGTTGTCGGAGGCCTGACACATCAGAGATGACCCATGCACCATACTCAGCCAAGTCCGCATCAGAACCTGACTTCACATTCTGCGCATTGACACTCACATGCACTGCTTGGCTAATTCCAGTTCTAAGTGGCTTCAAGCTGTTTATTTGTGTTTTGGGGTTTTGTGCTTGGGCCACACATGCAACGACATCGGCAGTGTTTTGCAGTCAGGGATTCGGCTCTGCCCTGACAGGTGGTGGTCCAGAAAGCTCTGGCGGTGCGGCATTTCGTCCAGCTCTTGGTGGTTCAGGCGGTGCAGAATTTCTTCCTGTTCTCGGTGTCCTGGAGGCCTCAGACGACCTAACACCATGCACATCGGACAAACGTCGTGTCTGCTGAGAATTGATGGGCTGACTTGGCTCTTGGACACCTGTGAGGATGCGATGACCATCCTTTTGATATGGACCTCTGGTTGCATGAACAGGAGTGCGTGTTGGCGATGGCGTTCTGGCTGCACGACAGTGAGTGTTGAAATTCAACTTGTGTTCTTCCATCGTCCTGCGGTCACTGCGAACAGTCCTGTAGTCCACAGGGTCCATCGGCGGTCTCATTGGCAGAATGAGATGACCTGATTCACTGTCTTCCAACTGCAAAACCAAAGTGCCTGGGCTCACTCTGAACTCAACACCTCCTTCACCCGGCAAGATCAGAAGTCTTCCATGTGTATCCAGGATGGCACGCTTGGCACGAAGAGATTTCAGTCCAAGCAACATCGGCAGCTGGCTGTTGGGAATCACAGGAGCGGTGTATGTACAACCCAACTCTGGCGCACTGTCATGACCATCAACCAACATTCCTAAATCGAAATCGACGGACACTGCAGTTGTGGCACACTGGGCGCTCTTGCCTACCCCACTGACGTGAAGTGGTTCATCCAGCAGCTTCTTGCGAGCATGCGTTCTGAGCTGTTGTTCGATGGCTTCGATAGTCTCAGAACCTGCAAGATTATCGTGAGCGCCGGGGTCGACTAATAGGCCTGATCTACCGTCTGGAGTGCACGTTCTCATTGAGTGGTATGTGGGACGTCCTTGATTTATATTGGGATTATCTTCTCGGACCATCTCCCACCACGGGAATGCACTGCTACTTTCCGGATCAGGTTGTGAACCAGGCATGTTCGACAAAAGCTGCGACAACTGCAAAGTGGTTGCTGATCTGATTTCTTTCTGCTTCTGCTTGGTTGGTCGTGTTGGGCGGCTCGGAGACTCAGCATCCTGTGCATCATCGGCTGTGATGGCTTGACTTGGAGATGACCTGGAAGACTCAAGACCAGACAACAAGGCTTCGGTGGACGACATCCTGGGCTGTGCTGGGGCAGAACTGCTACTTGATAAACTGCCAACCATGAAAGATGTCCATTCAGCTACGGGTTGATTCACAACAACGGCTGCCTTCATCTGCAACTGCTGTGCTGTTGGAGCCGGCTCAGTTGGTGGTGGAAAACGCGGCTCAGGGTTATCTGCATATTCATCCCTCTTATCTTCAACAGCTGTATCAACCCTGCGCTTGTTGTTGCTGCTGGCACTCCTCAGAGATTCCAAATCATCAAAGAAACTACGCTTGGATGATGGGGCACTGGAATGAATTGATTCGGCTTCAAAAGTTCGGGACACCATCTCACCTGCTTGCATGCGCATGGTTGTGAACACATGGGAGGCACCAACATCGGATGACGGACGGCTGGCGGTATCAGACTGATGACTGACACCTCTGGCAAAAAACTGAAGGTTCGAACCACCTATACCTGTCAACATGGCCATTTGCTGTTGACCTTGGCTGTCAGGCTTTGAGCATCTTTTGGCAAGATGTTCAGTGGAGCCACATTTGAAACACTTCAGCGGCTGACCGTCACGGCCACGCGGGTTCTGTCGGCCATTGCGGCCCTTGCCAGAAGCTTTTCCTCCAGGTCCTCGGTGCGCAGCAAAAGCACCAGGTGGCAAGAAAGATGCATAGCTTGTTCCATACCGTTGCATCTTTTGCATGTTAGATTTGTGTCTGAACTTGTTGAAATGATTTCGGCGATACCTACGTGGCGGTTTGTTGGAAAACCGTCTCCAGCTTCGTTTAGCTACCAAGTAGGCTTCGTACAATTCATTTCCAAGTTTTGCTGAATCTTCACTGAGATTGCCATACAGTGTTGTCACTTCATTGTCTGTCTCACCATCATCAGTTTCGGTTCCTGAAGAAAATTCATCATCGGCATAGAACATTCCACATCGTGGGCATTGGTCCTCATCTTCAGACATGACGGCAAAACTGGCTGACATGTTGACACCACTGGACATCGGGACATCAGGAGGCGACATGGGTGCTTGTACATCGGCATTCATGCTCGGCAGTCCACCATAGTAGGTCTGGTAACCAGGGGCCATTGGGGGCGCTGGTTCACCAAATGAAGGAAAGTAAAAGGCACCTACTTCACCTGTTGCACCTTGGCGGTTTGGAGGCATGAAGGCACCCTCATTCATCCTACCTACTCGTCTCAACCTCTCAAACAACTGTTGAAACTGCTGGTCATTGACTGGCATTTCACCGTCAAGTGGAAGCAACATTCGATCCCACTGCTCCGGACGAAGTCTCAAACCATTCAAAAGGATGTATGACATCGTGGCTGCATTCATGGCGAAACCACCCCTCTGAATTGCTCTATGCTTGAGGACTTCAAACCTAGTGAGTGCTGCACCCATGTTTTCTCCATTGAGTCTTGAGAAACCTACCAGCTCAGCCATGCTGCGGGTTTGCAGCTCAGTTTCCATCGGTGCATAATGCCGTGCGAGAGTTCTGCACAGCAAAAGGAGTCCAGAGACGTGTACCCCTTGTTCCCACACACCTTCTCGAAGCTGTTGCGGCTGCAACTCACGTATGAGGTCTCTTGCAGCACCTGTCACGACCAAGGCAACAGCAGGCGCATGCCTGTCTGGTTCCAGATCGGTAGCATTGCTCCAAAGAATGACATCAGACAACCAGCTTCTTAAGGAATACTGATGGCTGTTTTCATAAGACCAACTCGGCGGGGTCTTCAATGTTGCGGTTCCCACATCAGCAGTATAGTTGGGTCCCATGCGAGGACCATGATGTCCTTGTTGTTGTCGGTTCCCTGCGTGCATCATTCCAACTGAGGCCAGAATCAAACATGTTCCCAGAAAAACATAGATCACATGTAGTCGGTGTTTGACTGACCAACTTGACACTGAAAGCTTGTTGGACAAACGTCTGAATGGATCATGCATTGAAAACAGTTGGCTGGGGTCTGCATACATGCGGCTGTTGTTCACATGCACTGATTGCGAATCATTCGCACCAGTCAGATTCATTGCACGTCGGTTGACATGTTCAGCCAACCTTCCACCAGTTGTCCAGCTGTCGTCGTCGTCACGTTCAGCATCAATGTCCTCGTACCACCAGGGATCATGCATCATCGGAGTTGCATTGGGTCTGACCAGAGCACTTGCGTTCACCTCAAACAGTGATGCATCATCATCATTGTCGGAATCATCCAAAAGTCCAATGTCACGCAAATGCTTGATCATCTCGGCTGGTCCCATGTCCTGTTGTAAGGACAAACTCATCTGCTCCAGGCGCTCCATTGCGGTCTCAACCTCTTCATGCGACCTCTTCATAGCTCGTCTCAAGAGCTCCACCATGCGTCGCTCTTCTGCCTTGTCTGTCGATGTTGCCAGCATGGTTCTGATAGTGGTCAAAACAGGATGATCAGTTACCAAACCATCCATGTTGAAACTCGTTGCAATGGATCCATCGTTGTTAGGCACGCTTGTCACACCACTGGTTGTCGTGGTTGCCAGAATGGCTGTAGACATGGTCGATTGTTCCCCAAACTGACTGTTATCCGCCCCAAAACTGTTCGCTGCTGAGATTGCCAGAGTAGTGCTAAAAGTGGTCCTGCGGCACAACATCGGAAACTGCACACACATCTCATCACGTCCACTGTTGACCGCATCCTTGATGGCTGTCTCAACACTAGTTGGAGCGAACACCACGACAAATGTGACAAGTGCAACAACTGATAGCAGGAGCAGGAGCCATAGCTCCGCTACCAAGTTGAAACACATGCCACATCTGTCCCTCCTAACAAACACCTGTCTGTCCAAAGCAGCATGCTTTCCCTTTTGCTCAGCACTGCATCGTCGGAAGTTCGCGGAGGGTTCCATGGCAATTGAATTGGCACAAGTTGATCGGAACGATCTGCCTAAAAGGCGGTTGTAGAGACATGTCCTTGAGTGACAAAGGGCGGCGAGAAGTTGATACCTGGCAGGAGGTCACAAGGGCATGTACCATTCGACTGGGGAGACCTTAAAATGGATGGTTAGTAATGGACAATCCTATAAAATGGATGATTTAGGGGTACCCCTATTTCAGGAAACCTCCATATATAGTATACAACTCAAACATATATATATATATATATACATATATACATATATATATTATATATATACACGTATGTATACACATATATTGTTAAAAATACAAAGAGAAATGGAGTAAATAATATCCAGCAACATTCAAACATATAGCTGATATATCTATCGCAGTTCAGCCAGTCCTGAACCAGAAAGACTTTCCGATTGTCCGCTTCTAAAAGGCAGAGGATCAAGTCTTTCATACTCATGTCCTGAGGCAAGGCCCATTGGAGGACCGAAATTTGCTTCATTTTGGGCGGAGAGAAAAAAAACTGAGAATCTGTACCCCAAAAAATACGTTTGTGATTAGATTGACCACATTAAAATACATTAGAGTTACGTAGTTCTTGTTTGAAAGCAGCTAAGCAGCTGAAGAATGCTGAAGGTTTCAAGTCATGATGATACATATGCTGTACATATACTGATACTTTCTTACTTTTCTCACTACCCTTCACATGCAGTCCTTGTCATACGATATGGTGGCCCCAGGCATGTCCGTCTGATCACGGTGCAACGGTGCATGAGCAGGACAGATCCAACCAGAAGTCAGATTCAGAATCCGTCAGAACGAAAAAAACAGAGGTTCACCAAGTAGCGGGGGTTAGGGTCTATCAGAGTCTATCACTTCTAGGCACATCCCAACATCTCCCAGCATCTCCCGGCATCTCCCAGCATCTCCCACCCAGCAGCCAGCTGCCCCCCGAAGGGACTTGCCTGGCCCTTTGGGTCTCGTGGTGCTTCAGCCAGAAGACCATCCAGAAGGGACTGTTCCTGGAGCCGGGTCAGCCAGTTACACCTGGATTTCATCCGCGGAAATGGTGAGGTCGCGAGGCCCATTTTTTCAGTGAGATCTTTGTTGGAAAAATATGTGTTCCCCCATCTACAGTAGTTTCTTCAGTAGTTTCTTCGAAAAATGTCCCTTAAAAAAATCCCGGGGAAAAAAACATGAACTTCCGCAAGTGATGGCCGGGCACGTCATACCTGGAGCATCGATGTGGCCACCTCAACCGCTCTTAATCGACCTCGGAAGAAGCAAGACGCTGGTGACGCTGGAAACAAATCCACCATGGATTGAAATGTTGGGAATTAAACAGGTCATTCACCATGTTTTTTTGAATTCATGTTGCTGGTTTGCTGTAATTCCATCTTTCTTTTTTGTGTCATCGAATGTGTCAATTGGCTGTGTAGGATGGGATGGATCATATTATATATATATAGATAGATAGTAGCTATATTAGCTATATATATCTATGTATCTATATATATATATTAGATTATATTAGCTATATATATATATATTAGCTACATATATATGTATATATAGACATGTTATATTTTATGTAGAAATGAGCGCACCTTCATCTTCAAACAATGCTGAACTTGACGCTGTTGAAATCATGTCTCAATAGGCCCTCCAAAGAAGAGTGGGTACCAGCAAATCTTGAACTTAAACAGATACCCTCCGGGAATCAAACATGGCTCTTGAAATCTCTTGAATATATGTTCTTCATAGATCTTCATAGATATTTTTTTCAACTACGTTTCTATTTATAGGGGATGTCCAATTGCAATGTTTGACTACCGGAGGGTCCCTGTTTATCTCTATGTCTTGAAAACAACTCACATCTCGGGGTTCCATAAAATGGGACATCCCCAAGCTCACTTTCTGGGTTTCAACATGTTTCAATGGTCTGACTTGGATGAAAACTGGGGCTACCCCCATGACAAAACGATAAGGGCGCCATGTCATTCTCTGACACCTCTGAAGGTGTTGGCCAAGCTTCTGTCATCCACTTTGTATCTGTTCAGCGCCTTCACAACAACCTCAACTGAAAATCAAGTTGACGCCAAGATATGCCAATCCCCGGACGGAAAATCAGGAAATTCATCGACCTCACCGAGGAATCACTATTAAAAAACCATCCAAACATGGCAAGTTCCTGCCTTTCTTTGCCCAAAAACTCAGCAAAAATGTGGTCCCACCTCAATAGGTGCCGAAGGATCGAAGACAATGCGTTCCTCATGATCTTGCGAATGACACCTGCAACGAATGCGGTTGAAACCGTCCAACATGGGTTTAAGTCCAACCTCAAATCATCATTTTTCCCAATGTCCATCCAGGGGTTATAGCCCATGAATATCATGTTGGGGAATGTCGTCCGAAATCACCTGTGCGTGGATTTTGCCATTTGCAGAAACGATGAACACAATGCCTACAGTTGAATCAGTTGCCGGCCTTTTTGCAAGTGGTTAACGTGTCAGAATGCTGAAAAAGAGAAAGAGGACAATGTTGAAGTATGTTGAAGTCATGTTAAGCCCCTATGAGAAACAACAGTCGCTTCAAACCAAAAAGGTATGCCAGGTATATTGTGGGGACCTTTGCGAACATGGGATATGAACACCTGCCCCCAAGGGTTGGAGATTTAGGGCCCCACCTGGCTGACTGCATGGCCAAATCAAGGTAGGACAGCAAGTCCCTGAGTCGGAGCGTTTTCCATTCCCAAGATATCCCAAGATATCCCAAGGGGTCACTGGGTCACTGGGTCAAACTGAACAGATTCAAGTCGTCAACTCCTACGACCCTTGCTTGGAACCCTCAAATCTTTGCAGTGTCACCCACTTTTCGGGTTCGATCATCAAAGATCATCAAAACATAAATAGCCCAAGTATTGGTTTCTGAAATTCTTGGTATATGGTATGATCTAGAAAAGATGATCACCCAATAATCATCTTGTGCCCAAAAGATCATCAAACTGCACCTTCTGCTCAGATTGTAGACCAAGCTGCCCTTAGAATCCTGCAGAGCCATGGCGGTAGTCGATGACCCGTGAGGGATCAAAGTACGCAGTACCCCAAAATGGGATGCTGTCCTAATAGGAAACATGTAGGGATATGCATGTGTGTATAATATATATATATATATATATAACATATATATATATATAACATATATATATATACTATGATATAATTATATATATATGTGCATACTATGAAATATATATATAACATATATATATATAACATATATATATATACTATGATATAATTATATATATATGTGCATACTATGAAATATATATATACACATATTCTCTCTCACTCTCTCTCTCTCTATGTATATATATATATATAGAGAGAGAGAGAGATGGACCAATGCGCCAAAATCTGTGGTTTTGCTGGGTCGAATTTTGAAGCTATTCCCAGTTGGCCTCCACTACTGGGATGGTGCTGTGATGCGTCTTGGCGAAAAAGTGCAGCAGCTCTCGCAACGGTTGGCTTTCGCCTTAGCTGAAGCTGTGGCTTGTCGACCTCTGAGCTTTCTGCATTTGGAACACGGAGTTACTGGCCACTTAACTGGCCTGTTTAACAAACAAGCAGGGGACTCTCCCACGCAGAAAAACATCTTGTTCATGTCATTCATGTCATGGTTTTTCATGAGATTTCAGATGAATGTTGCGTGGGAACAGACTGGAAGACGACCTGTCGTTGATCTGGGCTCCGAAACTCAAGACCCAAGGAGGGCTGTTTCCCTGGCAGAGCCAGCCGCGCCGAAACAAACCATGGCAATCCTATGGTAGATCCCGCCTCTGCTTGTGCCGCCGCCCTGCAAGCGCTGCCCAGCTTGGATTTTTGCCCAGATTTCATCAGAAAAACCATGGGTTTTCTCCATGATTTGGGGATGGGTCAAAACCCTGGTACCTAGTGAACCCCAAAATAGCTGGGATTTATGGATGTTCATCCCACTAAAAATGTATCTATAGGTATTGACCCATACCCATTTGCTACAAATGGCAACCGCAGCCGTTGCTAAGCCCTGGACAGCTCCGCATATTTGGCAAATTCGAACTTCTGCTGCTGGTCTGCACCTCATGACAGGAGGCCGATGGTCATGTTCTGTTTTGGTCAATCACCCGATGTAAGGAGAGTCTAATGGTCAATCATGAGACTTAGAATTACCAATTAATTATTATGTGTATATATATTATATATACATATATTATAGATTATAATATATATATATATATATATTATATATATATTTATTTATATATATATATATTTATTTATATAAATATATATATATATACAGAATATGATTGTATAATCAAGCATAATTACATATGTCTAAATATGACCCAAATAGATTGGCCCATGACGCAGGAACCATTTGAGCCATTGCGAAACCGCTGGTTCCGCCTAAAATTCTTGGGCGCCCCAACAAGTTCCCACCTGCACCTTCAGGGGCAACGACGGGGTTTCACAACACTAGCGTGAAAGAAAACTGAAGAACTTCGGCCTTGCTGCATGGAGATTTAATGTGTTCACTCAGTTCACTCCCATAGTTGAGGATCTATTTTAAATCAGCCATCGGTGTGGGAAAACCACAGCCAGGACCTTCAAAACCCAGCCATGTCCACAGCCACCCTCAGCCTCTTCGCCCACTTTGATCTGTGCAAGTGGCAACAACTGCTCGCCTGCGTTTAACCCCAAGGATCCCATGGTTCATCAGCTTCCCCGGAAGAATGCTGGTGGTATATCTGAGTTACGCAGAAACTCAGTTCTTGGCCTCTCAAACGATTTAGGATGAAGGCCAGACCTGAAACCATGAGCTGTTCGACTGTGAAATCAACCAATCTCAAGGCCAAAAATGCTGGAATTAGATGGAAGTGCAATTCTTGTATACCAAAATTCTTAGGATGATTAGAATCCCTCGGATTTTTTTCCGGGTAGTCTGACTATGTTCGAAGCAGATTTTTCGGCTTCGGCAGTTGAGTCCCTCACAGGCAGAGAGAGTGAGATAGGCCATGACCGTCAAACGAACAGGGCTCACCTCGATCTCCATTCGAGGATGGCAAGGGTCACTTTCTGAAACATGGATGAAAATCCCTGGGATTTTTTCCCTGGAAAAATGATCAATTTCATGGGAAAACAATGGAAAACACCAGATTTCATGGAAAAATCCATGATTGGTTTCTTTAGATGTTCCCATGGATAAACAATGATTAACATGGGCAACATGAATCATGGCTAAGATGTTTAATGATGTTCACTGTCTACTGCTGGATTTGTCCAACAAAACCGCAGATGTTTCCAACAAGACCATTCCTAACATCAGGGAGGTCTGCCGGATGTGTCATTGCCGAAAATGGTGAGGTTGGCGGTATCTGGGGAACCATGCCACAGGCAGCGCATTGCATTTGGGGTAGGCCAACCTGTCGGATCCAAATCTGGTGCTGTCATGGTGCGGGGTGGCCGATCTTCACTGGGCTCCAAACAGCAACTGGACGGCCTCAGTTCGGCCCAGTCCAACTTGGATGGCCCAGGCGATCCACCAGTTTTTCTCACCAGATCCGGGAGGTTTTTTCTCACCAAGGAGCCTTGAGGAGGGTGGCCTCCGGATCATCTGCACACAGAATTGGCCTCCCAGAATTTGTTCAGGACCTGGAGGACCTGCAGGACCTGGAAAATCCACGACGCCCTCAATTAATTGCGCGCCTGGGAGGGGCGCTGGGTACTCGATGAAGCAGCAAGGGGCCGGAGGGCCCTTCCTCGGTGATGGTCTCTTAATAGTGTCCTAAAACAACATGAAAAATCCAGGATACTTGGTATGTCATACTAGATACTTTTAGATACTTGGTAGATACTCATACTAGATACGTTTAGAGACTTTTTGGATTTTAGTAGATACTTAGTAGATACGTAGTAGATACTTAGTAGCATTCTCCCAAACTGCAGTTTCACCGCAGTCAGACATGAGCATTCGCAATAAAACCTCTAACTGCTCATCCTGAGTCCTACACCACCAGGTCCAAATGAGAATTCTTCTCCTAAGAGGCTGGGGCAGCTGGAAGGCTTGAAATTTAAGGTCCTCCTGCAGTGCTGTATAACAAGGTGACAACAATCCCTCATTCCCGAAAAACTGGTTGCTTTCATCCCCATACTGCGAGAAAAGCCCTAAAACAAACCTGAGGATTCACCAAAAGTGGATGTTGAATGATGTTGAATTCATCTTGAAGAGTTCAATGAAGTATGCCATGATGTTTCCATCATCCAGTTCTGTTTGTCACACCGAAACTGCCCAAGTGAGGCGTCGCCCTTCCAGTCATCACTCCTGAACCTCTGTCTCTGGGGCCTGCGCAGTGGTATTTTTCTGGCCACTTTCACCAATCTATCAGATCAGAATTCTACAGATACTTTTTGGAGCTAAGCTACACACTGAGATCTCCTTTTTTCAGCCAATTGGATCTACAATTTTTCACAGCCACCAATTGGTTGGTCATTTTCGATGCACCTGTGTGGCCTTCATGCGGTGTGCTCTCCACTGCCTCAGGTCAAGGACATGACCTGTACTTTTGGGTTTGGCCCCCAAACATCAAAGATCAAGGAAAACTATGGGTTTTTCTTCCACCAAAAATACCACAGAAATAATAGTTGGAGCCATTATTTGACCCTCTGTTCCATATTCTTCAATAATGGACAGTGGATAGAGGAAAGATAACAATTTTCTCTGCAACAAAAAAAGCCAGCCCTCAGGACACCACTCAAGCGACCAGTCGAAGATGTGATCAGACGCCTGACGTAATCGTGACAACTGGTCGAATTTCCCCTCCACGGACAGCTGAATTTCCCCCCACCTGGGGCATGCAAGCGTGGCACAGGAAGTCAGCCAATTCGCCCACCTCAAAAACCGCTGAACAGTTCGCTGACCCTGGAAACCAACTAAGGGGAACTGTCAGGCTGCTGGTTTCATTATCTCAACTAAGGAAGAACAGAATTTCTTGAAGCCATCCTTTCGTTGTTTCGACTGTATATACATATCAATTATATACATATAATATTGTTTGTATTGTATTGTATAGTAGTGTATTGTAATGTATTGTATTGTATTGTATAATATAATGTAATATCATATAATATCATATAATATCATATAATATAATATCATAAAATATAATACCATGTAATATAATATCATATAATATAGCGACTATAGTGTAATGTAATCTAATATAATATAATATAATATAACATAACAATACATTACATTACATTACATTACATTACACTACATTACATTACATTACGTTACATTACATTACATTACATTATATATATGTATATGTTTTTGATATTATTTTAGCTTAGATTATATGTATAGTC